AAACCTCCTGAGGACACCCCAAACCTCCTGAGGAACCCCAAAACCTCCTGAGGAACCCCAAAACCTCCTGAGGAACCCCAAAACCCCCGGAGAACCAGACCACAAGGAAGTCAAAGAGAACGGAGTCTTTGCGTCACCGTCATCGGGGCAACCCAAACCTCCCCAAAACCACCTCAAATCCCCTCAAGGACACCCCAAAACCTCCTAAGGAACCCCAAAACCCCTGGTGGAGCCCCAAACCCACCTCTCCGAGGAACCAGGCGACGAGGAAGCCGAAGAGGACGGCGTCGTTGGCCTCGCGGTCGTACCAGGGCACGCCGATGGCGCAGCTCTCCCAGAGCTCGCCCTTCCAGCGCTCCAGGCTCCAGGCCGTGGCCCCCACGTCCAGCAGCACCACGGCCGGGCTGCCCTCGATCAGCCAGCGCCCAAAATGCACCTGAACCCCGAAATTTGGGGGTCCCCAAATGTCAGAACCCCAAAATGGACATTTGGGGTCAAATTTGTTGGCTTGTGGCACAAAATTGGAAGATCTTAAATCCTAATTCACCCAAAATCCTCTATTTGAGGTCATTCCCATCAGGGAATGCCCAAAATGCACCTGTACCCCAAAATCAGGGGGGTCCCCAAATCGTCACCACCCCAAAAGGTCAATTTGGGGTCACTTTTGGTGGGTTGTGGCCCAAAATGGGGAAATCCTAAAGCAGAGTTCACCCCAAAGCTCCTTTATGGGGTAATTTCCATCAGCCAGCGCCCGAAATGCACCTGAACCCCGAAATCAGGGGGGTCCCCAAATGGTCAGAACCCCAAAATGGACATTTGGGGTCACTTTTGTTGGGTTATGGCACAAAATTGGAAGATCTTAAATCCTAATTCACCCAAAATCCTCTATTTGAGGTCATTCCCATCAGGGAATGCCCAAAATGCACCTGTACCCCAAAATCAGGGGGGTCCCCAAATTGTCAGAACCCCAAAATGGCCATTTGGGGTCACCTTTGTTGGGTTGTGGCCCAAAATGGGGAAATCCTAAATCACAATTCACCCTAAATCCTCTCTTTGGGGTGATTCCCATCAGCCAGCGCCCGAAATGCACCTGAACCCCGAAATCAGGGGGGTCCCCAAATGGTCAGAACCCCAAAATGGACATTTGGGGTCACTTTTGTTGGGTTATGGCACAAAATTGGAAGATCTTAAATCCTAATTCACCCAAAATCCTCTATTTGAGGTCATTCCCATCAGGGAATGCCAAAAATGCACCTGTACCCCAAAATCAGGGGGGTCCCCAAATCGTCACCACCCCAAAAGGTCAATTTGGGGTCACTTTTGGTGGGTTGTGGCCCAAAATGGGGAAATCCTAAAGCAGAGTTCACCCCAAAGCTCCTTTATGGGGTAATTTCCATCAGCCAGCGCCCGAAATGCACCTGAACCCCGAAATCAGGGGGGTCCCCAAATCGTCACCACCCCAAAAGGTCAATTTGGGGTCACTTTTGGTGGGTTGTGGCCCAAAATGGGGAAATCCTAAATCACAATTCACCCTAAATCCTCTCTTTGGGGTGATTCCCATCAGGGAATGCCCAAAATGCACCTGAACCCCAAAATTTGGGGGGTCCCCAAAATGTCAGAACCCCAAAATTGACATTTGGGGTCACTTTTGTTGGGTCGTGGCACAAAATGGGGAAATCCTAAATCACAATTCACCCTAAATCCCAAATCCCAGGGCTGTCCCTGATCAGCCAGTGCCCAAAATACACCTGAACCCCAAAATCAGGGGGGTCCCCAAATCGTCACCACCCCAAAGTGGCCATTTGGGGTCAAATTTTTTGGGTTGTGGCCCAAACCAGGAAAATCCCAAATCCCAGGGACACCCCAAAGCTCCTTTAGGGGGTGATTCCCATCAGGGAATGCCCAAAATGCACCTGAACCCCAAAATTTTTGGGGTTCCCAAATTGTCACTACCCCAAAATGGCCATTTGGGGTCACATTTGGTGGTTTGTGCCCCAAAATAGAAAAAATCCCAAATCTCAGGGACACCCCAAAGCTCCTTTATGGGGTAATTTCCATCAGGGAATGCCCAAAATGCACCTGAACCCCAAAATTTTTGGGGTTCCCAAATTGTCAGAACCCAAAATGGACATTTGGGGTCACATTTGTGAGGCTGTGTGACCCTAAAAATGGGATAAATGACCCCAAAATGGGATAAATGACCACAAAATGAGATAAATGACCACAAAAATGGGATAAATTACCCCAGAAATGGAATAAATGACCCCAAAAATGCCTTAAATGACCGTAAAAATAAAATAAATGTCCCCAAAAATGGAATAACTGACCCCAAAATTGAATAATTGGCCCCAAAATTGAATAATTGACCCCAAAAATGGAATAAATGACCCCAAAAATGGAATAAATTACCCCAAAATTGGGATAAATGACCCAAAAATTGAATAAATGACCCTAAAAATCGGATAAATGACCCCAAAATGGGATAAATTGCCCCAAAATGTGAATTAAGTACTCCAAAAATGAAATTAATGACCCCAAAAATAGAATGAATTACCCCAAAAACGGGATAATTCACCTTAAAAATGGAATAATTGACCCCAAAATGGGGACAATTGACCCCAAAAATTGCATAAATGACCCCAAAAATTGAATAAATGATGCCAAAAATGCCCTAAATGACCCCAAAAATTGAATAAATCACCCCAAAAATGGGATAATTCACCTTAAAAATGGAGTAAGAAATCCTAAATCACAATTCACCCTAAATCCCAAATCCCAGCGCTGTCCCTGATCAGCCAGCGCCCAAAATACACCTGAACCCCAAAATCAGGGGGGTCCCCAAATCGTCACCACCCCAAAGTGGCCATTTGGGGTCAAATTTTTTGGGTTGTGGCCCAAACCAGGAAAATCCCAAATCCCAGGGACACCCCAAAGCTCCTTTAGGGGGTGATTCCCATCAGGGAATGCCCAAAATGCACCTGAACCCCAAAATTTTTGGGGTTCCCAAATTGTCAGAACCCAAAATGGACATTTGGGGTCACATTTGTGAGGCTGTGTGACCCTAAAAATGGGATAAATGACCCCAAAATGGGATAAATGACCACAAAATAGGATAAATGACCACAAAAATGGGATAAATGACCACAAAAATGGGATAAATTACCCCAGAAATGGAATAAATGCAAAATAGAAAAAATCCCAAATCTCAGGGACACCCCAAAGCTCCTTTATGGGGTAATTTCCATCAGGGAATGCCCAAAATGCACCTGAACCCCAAAATTTTTGGGGTTCCCAAATTGTCAGAACCCAAAATGGACATTTGGGGTCACATTTGTGAGGCTGTGTGACCCTAAAAATGGGATAAATGACCCCAAAATGGGATAAATGACCACAAAATGAGATAAATGACCACAAAAATGGGATAAATTACCCCAAAAATGCCTTAAATGACCGTAAAAATAAAATAAATGTCCCCAAAAATGGAATAACTGACCCCAAAATTGAATAATTGGCCCCAAAATTGAATAATTGACCCCAAAAATGGAATAAATGACCCCAAAAATGGAATAAATTACCCCAAAATTGGGATAAATGACCCAAAAATTGAATAAATGACCCTAAAAATCGGATAAATGACCCCAAAATGGGATAAATTGCCCCAAAATGTGAATTAAGTACTCCAAAAATGAAATTAATGACCCCAAAAATAGAATGAATTACCCCAAAAATGGGATAATTCACCTTAAAAATGGAATAATTGACCCCAAAATTGGGATAATTGACCCCCAAAATTGAATATATGACCCCAAAAATGCCCTAAATGACCCCAAAATTGGGATAATTGACCCCAAAAATGGAATAATTGACCCCAAAATTGGGATAATTGACCCCCAAAATTGAATATATGACCCCAAAAATGCCCTAAATGACCCCAAAATTGGGATAATTGACCCCAAAAATGGAATAAATGACCCCAAAATTGGGACAATTGACCCCAAAATGGGGACAATTGACCCCAAAAATTGCATAAATGACCCCAAAAATTGAATAAATGATGCCAAAAATGCCCTAAATGACCCCAAAAATTGAATAAATCACCCCAAAAATGGGATAATTCACCTTAAAAATGGAGTAATTGACCCCAAAATTGGGATAATTGACCCCCAAAATTAAATAACAGCCCCCAAAAACTGAATAAATGACCCCAAAAATTGAATAAATGACCCCAAAAATTCAATAAATGACTCAAAAATGCTCTAAATGACCCCAAAAAAATGCCATAAACGCCCCCAAAAATGAAATTAATGACCCCAGTTTAACCCCCCATGCCCACCTTGCAGCCCTGGGCGTTCATGGCGGCCAGCGTGCCCCCCAACCCTCCAGTCCCCTGACCCCATAACCCATTCCCTGACCCCATAACCCATTCCCCGACCCCATAACGCTCTCTTTAACCCCATAACCCATTCTTTAACCCCTTAACTCCCAGTTTAACCCCATAACTCCCCCCCAGGTGTGCCCACCTTGCAGCCCTGGGCGTTCATGGCGGCCAGCGTGCGGCGCAAACCTCGAGATCCCCGACCCCATAACTCCTGCTTTAACCCCATAAGCCATTCCCTGACCCCATAACCCCCAGTTTAACCCCTTAGCTCCCAGTTTAACCCCATAACTCCCCCCCAGGTGTGCCCACCTTGCAGCCCTGGGCGTTCATGGCGGCCAGCGTGCGGCGCAGCGCGGGCTGCGGCGGCTCCAGCAGCTCCACCTGCGTGCGCACGGCGCTCTCCACGTAGGGCCCCACCAGCACGTAGCTCTCGCCCCACTCGTCGGCCGTCACCCGCGCCTTGGTCTGCAGCACCGTGTAGATCCCCCCCACTGCGGGGAAATGGGGTCAGGGCACCCCAAATTTATCCTAAATCCGTCCTAAATAGCCCCAAAATCCACCCCGAATAGCTGGGAGCCACCTGAGCCATTCTGGGTACCTGGGATCCCCCAAATCCCAAATCCTCACCCCATGGAACAGCCATAGGGCAGCACCATGGAGATCCCCCCCACTGCGGGGAAATGGGGTCAGGGCACCCCAAATTTATCCTAAATCCGTCGTAAATAACCCCAAAATCCATCCCGAATTCACCCCAAATTCCTGAGATCAACCTGGGTACCTGGGACACCCCAAATCCCAAATCCTGGACACTTGGGATCCCATGGGCAGCACCGTGTAGATCCCCCCCACTGCGGGGGGTAATGGGGTCAGGGCACCCCAAAGTTTTCCTAAATCCGTCCTAAATT